AATCTTTGCATTTGATATAATGCCGTTCCCATCAGCAGGAGGAAGTTTCATAGCGCTTTACAGGATTTTACTGTAAAGTATAGTGACTGTTTTTGTAGGTGGCAGCCAATTTGTGCACAGCAACAACAATAACTTGCATGTATATAGTGCCCCTCATGCAGAATAGCATCCCACAGCAAAATCTCACAAACAGCCACAAAGTGACTGACCAGTTTTACCTAGTTTTACTGTAAAGTGTGACTGTGTATTCTGTTGGTATAAACGCTGGTCTTCTCTTGCTCTTGGACAGTTGGTAAGGGGCAAAGGGAAATTGGTTTTGATTACAGTCAGTTTAATTTCACTGTGAACATAAGTACTGCACAAAGCTGTTTGCATATTCAATGCTAACTAGCAGCAGTTCACAATGCTCATGAAAGAGGGAGTGTGGGAATTGGAAATGCCACCATGGTGCAATGGGAAATGCGCAGTAACACTACAGTGCCAGAGTGATATAAGTCAAGTTTGGTTTGCATAACATAAGTCATCCTATTCCAGAACTGTAAGTGATGGCAAAGGATCAATTTGCCATTGTGGTGACTAACTTGCAGTATGTCTTTACAGATTTCTTGATAGAAAATGTGCAAATACCAAATTTCTAAAACATTGTCTGTGCTAAAGAGTGAAGGCAATTTGCCATGAAAAGTATCGAATAAACTGAGGCCCATATTTGGAATATTTCCTTCTGTGGTACTATAGAATTGTATGAACAAGAGGTTAGGACATACAGATAAATTATATCTGCATGAGAAGGTCTAAAGGCTCAAACTTTCAACCCTGGATGATACCAAGAAGCAATGTCAACAGAGGCTTTAATGTCATGGCTGAAGTAGACTTGAATGATGCGTTTAGCAGTCACGGCAGTAAAGGTCATTATCTTGTTTAGCTTTTTATTGATGGTCTCCATTCAGTCTTGCTCCAGAGATTTAGTGGCCAAAAAACCGAAGTTCGAAATACCTAACAGTGCAGCAGTCATATTTTACTGCTGTTTTTCTAAAGTTGTTCAGCGTGGCTATTAGCATCACATAATATAATAATAATCCTTGCATTTGATATAGTGCCTTATCACGTCTTCGAGATGTCTCTCAAAGCACTTCACAGAATATACTGTTGAGTGAATTAACTGTATATTTTGTGGGCGAAACACGGCAGTCAATTGCGCACAGGAGTGTCCCACAAAAAGTGCATTGAGTGACCAATTTATGATTATTATTATTTTTATTCATTTAATTTCATGGGCTTTGAATGAGTTTAGAATAGGCACCGGGAAGTATTTCCGTATACAAAGAGCAATTAACTGCTGGAGTGGATTGCCATGAAGGGTGGATGGAGTTGAGGGGCCAGGCCACTTGACTCATTTAAGAAACAGTTTGATGCTATAATGGGAAGATAGTAGGATGGGTATTTTGGAAGGAAGAGATCAAATGGGGCTTCAATATATTCCTCATCTGTATCTCCTTGTGATCTGTTGGTGCATGTGTACTTTACTAAATAGAATTAGCAAGTCATGCCATGGTGTTAAAGCAACCAATAGCAATCAAAAACAAATCAGTTTCTGGGTCGGGGATCCTGTTCAAAGGCCCTTTGTTCACATTTCCAGAAATACACAAGGAAACTTGTGCTGTTGCTCTAAATGTCCCTGCCCCTTCTGCTGTGAGCCAAGGTTAGCTGATGAAAGACTATGATTTCTACGCCTCTTCTGCAAACATAAAGACTGGCCGCTATCAGGAAAATGAAAGAATCACTTATAAACAATGCTGTTTTAAACAAAGTCCTTGAACACATGAGAATCAAGCCAATTTATGTCTTATTCTAAAGTTTTCCTTTCATTGTTTAAATGTGTTTGAAAATGGATGGGGAACTGTTTTCATGAAGGGAGTGGGGGGTAAATCTTTTTTTAAGAGCAATAGAATCTGTTCTAGACAGGGATGGGACGAGATGGGACAGTGGTGGGGCGGTGGAAGGGGGCTTCTGTAGAGTAGCCACTCTGCTAAATTGGGTTCTTTATTGCGGTGCTCTTATTACAGATCTCCCTGCTTCAATCCCGCCTCAAAACCTCTTTGCCCATCTTCAGATCGCACCTGTAGACCTTCCTTCATCAAACTACACTACTGTTAAATGAACAGACATGCCATCATGCGTGAAGCGAGCTATTTAAATGCAAGTTGTTGCTGTGATTTCTGTTCGCACTACACGTAAGTCATGGATCATACTCCCCCCACCCCCAAATATTCTATCAGGCTCAAAAATGTAATTGAATTCCGTGCATTTAATGTAGCATAAGGTGGACTATCAAAGTGTCTCAAATTAACCATCATTAAAACATATTGAAACACAAGATCATGTGGAGCAACATTGCTGTAGTTCTTTAAGAGCTGAACTGTTGTTTTTGTCTAAGGAATCTGTTCTCTACTAAAGATAGATATGTCTTAATACAGAAAGCAAAGATAACTATTTTAGCTTGGGAAGATAAACATGGACCTGCCTGATGTTTTGGCTGAATGCACTTGGACTCCATTCTCCCCAGACACAGAGATGTCAGACTCTCACTTCTCTATTTTTATATACATGTCAGATGGATCAAATTCACCAGCAAATAATAATACTAATCCTCGCAAAAGATGTAGTGTGTTTCACAGGATACTCTACATGACTGTGTATTTTATAGGCAGATAGGGCAGCCAATTTGTACACAAACAGTTAGAAAGTGATTCATTTTATTTGGGGTGTTGTTGTTCCAAGGCAACAGGAGAAACTCCCCTTTCTTTTCGATTAATGTGGAATCTTTAACGTCTCCCTAAACAGGCAGACGCGATCTCGATTTAAAGTCTCATCCAAAGGATGGCACCTCCAGCAATGCAGCACTCCCCCAATACTGCATTGGAGTATTAGTCTAGACTACAACAGGTTGCCAATTGCTGACATGGGATATGAACCCACAACCTTCTGACTCAGAGGCAAGAATGCTACCAACTGAGCCAGACTGACACTAGCAACATTGACAGCTGTTGAAAATACCCCCAAAAAATCATTTCTATGTCTGAAGCAGTTGGATATTCTATTCAGCAGTAAAATATTACATTCTAATTTGGGTGCGAGTTGACAGAACAGGTTCTGTAAGATCCTGTTGTGCTTTCAGCAACTCCAGTTTCAGGGAATGGCAGGCATCACATGCGAGCCTTATTGCTTTCCTTTGGGGCATAACATTTAGGTTAACAATTTTTAGCCAGGATGGGAAAATGATTTCCAATGCACACAGCTACATAAGTCTGCTTTTATGTAATGGTTTATGAAATTGTGTGCCTGTGATAGTTTTGTTTATTGTAATTCTTAGGTATTTGTGTCCTTGGCAATATCTGTGAAATCATGTGTGTATTCCCGGTGAAAGGCTCTTTGTCGTGTTTGAGACCCAAGTTTTTAAATACAAGCCTTCAATGGGATGTTTTCTTAGTTTTGATTTGTAGGAGATTTTTGTCTTGATCCAGTTCCATGGTTTTGGGACAGGCAATTGCTATCTAGCAGCAGGTTTGTGTCTCAGGTGTAGCTCAATCGTTAGAGCACTCACTTTGCAAGCGAGAGATCTGGGTTCGATTCCCAGCAGGTCGAAATGTTTGGCAAGTTTCCTTACTCCACATACCTCTGTTTACCTAGCAGTAAATAGGAACCTGGTTGTTAGTCAATTGGCAGGGGTAATAATTTCTTCAAAAAAAAATTGGTCACTTCAATCCACAACTGTTTGTGGGACACTGCAGTACGCAATTGGCTGCCATATTTTGGCCACAATATATACAGTCGATTCACTTTACTGTATACTCTGTGAAACGCTTTGAGACGTCTCAAAGACATGATATCAAATGCAAGGATTATTATTATAAATTGGTGGGCATAAATAAGCAAAGTGAGACTGGATTGTCTGAGAATTTGCGAAAGTACACCGATTGCTAAGAAGGATCAGGAACAGGAAAAGAGCCCAGTATTGAATGTTATGATAGATTTCGTGAAGCGTCCAGTCTAACTGTGGATTGTAGGAGATAAGGCGCTGAGAAATAACTGCAACCCCAGCACAACAGTCGAGGCAGAAGATTTCAACTCAGTGGCATCCATGCCCAATACTCAGTGGATTGGATTGAATTGGTCGTTCACTTCATGGCTATTTGTGAAACATTGCTGTGCACAAGCTGGCTGTTGTATTTGCTTACAAAATAGTCACCACACTTTACAGTATATCCAGAAACATCCTCCCAACATTAAAAGTGCTATGTCAAATGCAAGGATTGTTATTATTATTGTTATTATTGATGAGGTGCATTATAAGGGTGCAAATCAGGGGTATATTTTAAGTTGCAATTTGGGGGTGCAATGCCCACAAGTTTAGGAGTTTGCTTCTCGAGTCTCCCAGATTCCATTTGTGTAGGAACAACGTGAAATTCTACCTAGTCTTAGCTTGTCTGACACCCATTGAACCGAAATCCTGACTTAAGTCAACCCCTTTGGGACAGGAGCAAAAAACTGTCAACCCACCCCGAAATAAGAACAGAAAGAAATGGCTTAATGCTTTCAGATTTAATGATAAGATAGGGAGAGCAATGCTAAAAAGAAACAGGTTTTGCTGCATGTTCCAATCCAATTGCCTGTCGCTTTAAGACATCTTCCATCAAATTGTTTAAAATACTATCCAAGATAATGCCTCAGAAATCTAAAGCTGCCTGCCAAAACTTGAAGAATGTGGATATTCACATGAAAGGACCCTTAATGCATTCATCAGTGTGAGACTTTGCTTTTATCTTAAGAATCAAAATGCTAAAAATGGCTTTCAGCATAAACCTTTTTCAATTCAGTCTCTCTTATCTCTCAGCTGCAAGGCAAACCACCTTAACACAAGCAAAAAAAACTCTCCCTTCCTCTTCTCCCCCCTCCAGTCGGTGCCAGATGAATTTTGTATGAATTCTATATGAAAAGCAAGAGCTGTGTGGCTGTGAATGTATTAGCGTCTTGAGCAAGGACACAGGAGGAGCTTGGTACAGCCTGTGCCCTCAGAGACTGCACGAGCCAACAATAGATTTGGTTTGTGAGGATGTGAGGCTGGCATACGGACAGTTCCCTTGTGAGGCTAAAAGGCAAAGCAGGCAACCCTGGCTTCACAGAAGCTGATGCACCAAGATATAGCCCACGATTTTATAGAAAGCATTCCTGCTCCAGCGCAGACTACCAACTACAGGAAGAACCATTTTAAAAGCTCATTTACGCTCTTCACAAGTGGCAAAAAGGTAAGACTCCTGAAAATTACGGACGAGCTGCATTACATGACTATGCGTTGAAGTGTTAACATACAAGCAGCAGAAGTATCCTCTTTGTGTTTGTGTAATACAATCCACAGACATTAAACAAACCTGTAAAACTGCCGGTTCGTCTTGAGAGCAGTTACCTTTTGAGGTGACGTGGATGAATGTTGAATGTTGTTCATCTTCTGTGTCCTTGGGGTTTCTGTGCAGAAACCAAATGGATCAATGTGAATTTTTTTTTTGCAAGTACATGAGACTTGTCTGGGGGGAATTCTCGAGTAAATTGAACGGGTTGTGGTGTCATTTTTTTTAATGAACCAAAAAAAGGTTTGATTTATACCCCAAAAAATGAAAAACAAAATAAAGCTTTCAGAGTTACAGGGCATTTCTTCGAATGCACGGATTTTGGTCACGTGAAACTTCAATTCTCTGGAGTTCAAAGACAGCAGGCTATTAAATTAGGATTTTTGCTATCAAATTTCAGTGGCATGTTTGGCTACTTGCTTTTCTAAAGAAACACAAATAATAATTATAATAGTATAATAATAATGCTTGCATTTGATTTATTGCCTTATCACGTCTCAAAGAATTTCACAGACTTTATTGTAAAGTGGATTTACTGTATATTTTGTGGGCAAAACCCCCTACAGAGAGATGCTCACCTGTACTTGCATTCATGTTGAAATAGCTCACAGTCGTACATGGCAGCTCTTACCTAAGCTCTCCGAGACGCCGTCCAACATGAAGGGCGCTATATAAAGTTGTTGTTGTTGTTGGCAGGGATTATTATTGACGTGCACTAGACAGATGCGATGGAAAGCAAGAACCAAAGCAACCCACCTGCGCTTGATCGTGTGGCGGGCTACCAAATACAGTGCGGGGGCAAATTAAATGGCTACCAGCTTAAAAGAAAATGTTACAAACATAGAACCGTGGAACTCAGTGGAATCAAGGAGTGTTCCGTCATGCGGTTTGCTCGCTGGCAAGGGGCGAAACGTGGTGTAAGCGTACAATTTTTGTTACTCAATGACAGATATTTTAAGTAGAGCAGCTGCCCGTCTCAGTACCCACCAGAGGTAAAATCAACAAATGTGAGTGTATCTTGTGGAAATGATCTCCACCCTTCTTCATAACTATATTTGGCCGCAAAATGCACAGTCACTTCACTTTACAGTAAAAAGTGTGAAGCACTTTAAGACATCCTCCCGAAATGAAAGGCGTGTATCAAAGGCAAGGATTATCATTATTAGTATTATTATATTACATTATAAACTAGCCAGGGACAGACTACTTCAATGTAAAACCTTGTTAGAGTTCCTAAAAGGGACCATATATCACAGGGTCTAAGGAGCTGAACGTATCTACAAACATGTACAACAAATGCTGTCCTGTAAGCATCTGCTTTGTCTTTTTAGTACTAGTTGAGTTCACCCACATGCCTGATTAACAACAACAATAACAACAACTTGGATTTATTCAGCACCCATCATGCAGGCCTGCATTTCAGAGGGCTTTTCCCAACACTTCAGCCTTCAATGTTGATGGAATGTAAACCTCGGTTAGGTTTGCCCCTGAATCCCTCAAAAAGGTTACAGGCCCACTTGTCGTCACTTTTCAAAATAAAAGAATCACCTGTGTAACTAGGGTTCGTTGGAGAGAAAAGATTGACAAATTGTGCTCCTGCATCAATAGGAATACCTGCAAAAGAAAAACAATGCTTATGGATTGACACAGACTTTTTATTTTTATTCACAAAGAGAAGTAGCAAGGGGGGAGAGTGGGGAATGCTTCACAGCTAGGTCTTGTCATTATGCAAAACTGGACCATATTTTGAAGGTTCTGCTTTGGCAGAGTAGATTAGAATAAATCCTCGAGCTGCAGTCTATGGCTTCTGAACGATTTTTGGTTCCAGCGGTGTCAAAAGGAGAATAAATGACTGACGTTTCTGAGTGATGGAGTGTATCATTGCTGACACATCTGCCCACCATTCTTCCACTAGTATTTACTGACTTTTTCAAACCAGCCTTCGATCCCACTTATTACAAAGCAGTGCCTGCCTGCGCTGTGTGGAGGTTCTGAGGAAAAGGAAAGCTCTGATCAGATCATGTTAAGAGGCTAATGTTAAGAGGGGTTAAGATTGCTCTTTCAAGCTTTGTTGGCCATGGTGGGTAACGGTTGCTCTTAGCCCATAATCTATACTCCTGCCTTTATAAATATTCGTTCTTTTCTGTTTTAGTGAATACATGGAAATGCTAAACTTCAAGTCATTTCTGCTGATTTCTACAAAGCTGAAATTGAGAAATGGTGTAGAATGGCAATGTATCTCCTCAATTGTTGCTAGTTTTCTTTTTCTATTATTTAATCCCCACCCCCACCCCCCCAATACCCCCACACATATACACACACCTGTCAACCCTGCTTAACAACAACAACAACAACAACAAGATTCCATTTATAGAACACCTTTCACGTCGGGAGGACGTCCCAAGGCGCTGGACAGTTGGATCAGGACCCGAGCAGGGGGGAAATGGTCAGGGTGAGAGGAGGGAAGGGAGGGAGCGAGGAAGGGGTAGAGAGTCGAGAGGGGAGCTGAAGGCACGGTCAAAGAGAAAGGTTTTGAGACCGGCCTTGAAGGAGGAAAGGGAGGAAACAAGGCGAAGGCACTGGAGGATGGAGTTCCACAGCCTAGGGGCTGAGAGGCTGAAGACCCGGCCACCGATGGTAGGGCGGTTGGGGCGGAGGATGTGGAGCAGACCGGAGCCAGAGGAACGGAGGGTACGGGCAGGTAGGAAGGGGATAGTAGGTCGGAGAGGTAGGAGGGAGCAAGGCCGTGAATGGCCTTGTAGGTGAGGGTGAGGATGTCTATCTCAGGATGAGAGATAGACATCCTACCACTTATCCGCCACTGTCAAGCGCTCTGAGATGCTGCCCTGCGTGAGGGACGCTAGATCAATACACGTTGTTGTTGTTATTCGTCCGTGCTCCTTTATAAACTCCTCTGGGGGGTGGGGATGGTGGGGGGAGAGGGGCAGTAGTGGGCACCTGAAATTGATACATGTGCAATTCTTCACCTCCTGTATCATTTCTGGGAGACAAATCAGGGCTTGAAATCTTGGCTGATTTGTTTGATTTGCACCTCAAAGCCTGCTAAGGAAACAGTAGCATCCTAAATGGTGCCCAGACTGAGATCAACTTACTCAGCAGTGGACAAACAACAACAACAACTTGCATTTATATAGTGCCCCTCACGCAAAGTAGCATCCCAGAGTGCTTGACAGTAGGCGGAGAACAACACCAAGCCGATGGGAGGGGGAGATGATCATTGGCACAGTTGAATAGTTAGGTCTTCAGGTGCGATCTGAAAATGGGGAAGTTAGGGACAAGGTGGAGGGATAGAGGAAGAGTGTTCCAGAGTTTCGGGGTGTAGTGGCTGAAAGCACGACCACTAATGGTGGAATGGAGGGCACGGGGGACATGCAGAAGGCTGGAGCCAGTGCTGCAAATGGTCAGGTCTGTGCGGCTTTCAGTTCCTTTACTCACAACTCTAGGTTTGTAACCACATCTCTGATTGACACCACAGCAAACAAGTTAAAAGTGTTTGGAAAAGCTGTTATAGAATGGAATCATCCAAGAAAAAGCTGGCCCCACTTGTTACCATTGGCAACATTAACATTGTGCAAAGTTTACCTTCACTCAGTGATGGAATATCATAGCCTGTGTTTGAAAGCCTGAGGAGAAAATCCATCTCCTCTTTCTAGTCTCATTACAGTTTAAATTTATTCAAAGAAGCGGAGCTGGCTTAAAGTGTAAAAACAAATTGTTATTCAATCCACGACTGTTTGTGAAACAACTGCTGTGTGCAATTGCCTGCCACGTTTCGCTCACAAAATTCACAATCAATTTACTTTACAATATATTCTGTGAAGCGCTTTGAGACGTCTCAACGATGGGATAAGGCTCTATAACAAATGCAAGGATTATTATTATTGTTATAGAGTGGGCCACCCCTCGTCAGCTTCAGTAAGATATGGAGGAGCTGTCAGTCACTCCCCTACGTAGCTACAACTCTTCCACAGTTGCTTGAACTTAAGCCAGATCTCCAGGTTGATGCTAGGACCATAGGCACGAACCAAACATCTGCTGCAGCTGCACCAACAGATAGGATTCAGGGCAGAAACTCCACACAAATAATGATAATAATTCTTAGCATGATATAGCGCCTATCACATTTTCGAGACGTACCAAAGCACTTCACAAAATATACTGTAAAATAAATTGACTGTATATTTTGTGGGCGAAATGGGGCAGCCAATTGTGCACAGCAGCGTCCCACAAACAGTCGTGGATTGAGTGACCAATTCTTGATTTTATTTTTGAGGCATGTGGAGTAAGGAAACTTGCCCAGCGTTTCACCCGGCCGGGAATTGAACCCAGCTCTCTTGCTTGCGAGGCAAGTGCTCTAACCAATGAGCTACAGGACTCCACAAATCACAATGATTCACAAAACCCCTCCTGCCTAGTCAAACTCTCTCTCTCATTTTGATAGACTAGGTCGTTGTCCTTTAATGTGCAGAGCTCTGAATTTGATGCACTGGTTAGTGTTGGGCTTGCTGAACCATCACATGCTGAACCAGGGTTACTGGCACATGGTTTAGGGTACAAGAAACCTTCTGATAATATGTGACCTAGTAAAAATTTAAGCCTGGCAGTCTTTCATTCCTGGCAACCATTAAAATTCTGGATTAAAGATTTATAAGTGAGTCAACAGCAAGCCAGGACACAAACGTAACTTTTTAAAAGCTTCAGATTCTTTGCTGTCAAGCAGAAATAACAGAACGCAAAAAAACAGAAATAACAGACGAGTTTACTCAAAATTATGGCATTTCTGACTCACCCTGAGCCATGGACTAATGGCTGTAATTACTACTCTGCTACGTTTTATGGTGCGATTTGGCACAGTGGACAAATTAAAGCAGTTGCTGCTA